CTTCCTTTCATGCTATCCATTGTGTACGATTGTGTTGCTAACTGTAATTGGTCACAGTGATCACATGGTACAGACTAGGCCAGTCACAGCCCACCTGTTTCATGTGATTAAGTGTGGCCAATCACAGCTAATCGCAACAAAAAACACTGAATGAATTGATTTCATTCAGTTAAATGCTTGCCTATAGCAGTGAAATTCACTGCTAAAAAAATAATATACTGATCACTTCCCCTTCTGGGGTTACTATGGTAACATTATATTACTCTGGTCACAGTGTTTTATTTAAAAAAGAAATCACAAAAAAAGTTAATAAAAAAAAATTTAAAAAAAAAAATAGTAATTTTTTTTTTATCATACTGTCACTAGTCAGTGTCCCTGATCACCAGTTGTATGATGATGCTGTACTGCACTGTTGATGGTATATTTAAAAAAGAGGTGAAAAAATCTTTTTTTTGTTTTTATTTAATTTTTCCAAAAATTATGCCAAAAAATTGCAACTTCAAAAAACTTGTCATGTCTCTTACTAAATACTACAGACTGTCTACTTTCCAAAAAGGGGTAATTTGGGGGATATCTGTACTGTCCTGACATTTGTGGGCCTCAAGAAATGAGATAGGCTGTCAGTACATCAGGATTGATTGATTTTCAGATATATACCATAGTTTGAGGACTTTCCTACAGACTAAATATTATACACTAATTTGGCTTATTTTCACCAAACAAATGTAGCAGTATACATTTTGGCCTAAATTTATGAAGAACAATTGTTTATTTGCAACATTGTATAACAGAAATGAAGAAAAACAAAAAAGAAAATAATCCAGTGGTGATTAACTGCTTCCTGACCACCCTATAGCGGAAATACACATTGGATGGAAACATATCACACTCTCTGTCATTCTTTGCGCACTATTAAAATGCAAGAATAGGAGACCCCTTTTTAATGTTTTTTAACCTGACATATACCTTATTTCTCAGCAGATCATGAGGTTAAAGAACCAGTTGAGGATACGGAGCCCAGCACACTGTTGTTTGAGACTGTAAGTACATTTTTTGTTTAGATTTCCTCTAACTACTATACAGTTGTTTTTCCTTTCTAAATGTTCATACACAAATCCTTAAAGTGGAACTAAACTGTATCTGAGTACCACAAACTGAAAATGCTATTTAACTGATTTTTTAATATTCAAAAGCAAATTCCGCTGTCCATCCATGTCTCTATGTTCTATTTTGTTGATAAATCACTTTGAACCCCACCCCCGGCAATTACAGCTGTGGCCATCTTAAGTAAGGGCAGATGATTTATATAGCATTTACTTCGTGGAATATGCACTTAGCACAGGCATGTAGGCAAGTGAGTGTGCCTATCTGGGAAAAATACCCATGAAGATTCCTGGGATGTATGAAATTTTGGATTAGGCCAGAAACCAGGAAACAACTGAAGAAATGTAAACAAAAAGGTTAAAACAAGAAAATATAATATACCTTCCTATCTATTTACTAATGCTAGCAAAATAAGGAATAAAAATAGTTCATTTTGATTGAGAGAGTTTGGTTCTGCTTTAATGAACACTTGTGTTGCTATGCAAAACAATTTGCAGAAAAAAGTATGAGGCTAAGGTGGATTGGCATCGATTTTCTTTTCTTTTTTTTTTTTAGTTTATGAAAATTTTAGGTTTATACTGGAAGAGTTATGTTGCACTCCCCTATAAATAACACCAATTGGTATTCACTTGAAAGTTCTAATTAAACATTTTAATGATACCTCCATGCATTATTGCATAGCCTGTAGAATACCCTATCAGACGTCAGCACTATCCGCCTGCTCAGCAGGGGAATCTCTCCGCTGATCCCTGCTGAGCAGGCAGATGACAGGTCTCACAGTGGACACAGACGCGACCTGCTGATTTCAATGGGATGGTTAGATGGACCGCCTGTCCATTTCCACCCGTTTGCCATCCGATCCCCATCGATCTGTTTTTGGCATACAGGATCGGATCGAATGCTGGGGGGTGTCAGCGGACTATTGTTCACTGACACCTGCCGGTCCATAGAAGTCTATGGATGGACCGATCGAGTCCGCCTGAAAAACGAACAGGTGGACCCCATCGGTCTGCTCGTGTGAAAGGGGCCTAAAAATCACAAATCTTCAAAAGGGACATCAGGATTTATTTTCAATTTCAGATGTGGCACATGTTCCCAATCCACTTTATAATTAGCTCAAACACACTATAAAAAAATTATAGAGAAAATAATGTGTGCATATATAATGGGGGGAGATTTACTAAAAACTGGTGCACACAGAATCTAGTGCAGCTGTGCATGGTAAGCAATCAGCTTCTAACTTCAGCTGGTTCAATTAAAGTGATACTAAAGCTAAAACGTTTTTTTTTTTGTTTTTTTTACCTTAATGCATTACTTGCATTAGGTAAAAAAACATTTTATATTTCTCTGTCTTTCCTACTATTCACGGCTGCATCTCTTCTCCCCTCTCTTCCTCCTCACACAGGGACTCGAACAGCAGCAGGAGCCACTTTATTAGGTACACCTTACTTGTACCGGGTTGAACCCTTTTTTACCTTCAGTACTGCCTTAATTCTTTGTGGCATAGGTTCAACAAGGTGTTGGAAACATTCCTCAGAGACTTTGGTCCATATTGTCATGAGGTTTTGTTGCCTTTCTATCATCTGCCCATTCTCCTCCAACCTCTGACCTAAACAAGACATTTTCGTCCACACAACTGCTAATCACTGGATATTTTCTCTTATTCAGACCATTCTCTGTAAACCCTAGAGATGGTTGTGAGTGAAAAGCCCAGCAGTTTTTTAAATGCTCAGAGAAGTCCGTCCGGCACCAACAACCATGCCATCTATTTTCAAAGTCATTGAAATCCCCTTTCTTCCCCATTCTTATGCTTGGTTTGAACTTCAACGAGTCATCTTCACCACGTCTAGATGCCTACATGCACCATGTGAGTGAGTTGCTGTCATGTGATTCGCTGATTAGCAATTTGTGTTACCAAGCAATGGAACAGGTGTACCTAATAAAGTGCACAGTGAGTGTATGTACACTGTACTGCAAGTTTCATACTGCATACTGTTCTGTTCTTCATTCTCTGCATTGTGCTGTAGATCATATGCTTTACTTTGCTCATATATGTACGGCATGTTTCCTGTTTCACACTGTTCTACTCTACATGTCATTCTTTACACTGTGCTGTCCATTATATACTTTGCTCATGACTAGTGCACCAGAAATAGGTTCATCCAGATCCCCCCCTTTTAATTATACTTAAAGAAAACATGACACCAATTTTGGAGTAAAATGGCCAACACGGCCTTTTATTAACAAACACGTTTTAACACACCAACCATTCCTTATAACAGAAACATACAGAGTTGTTGTTGGTCTTCGAAGGCACCCCCCAAAAATGATCTGAAATGCACCTGCGGACAACCATATTACACAAGGCCTCGAGCTGCAACCAATCAGCTCGAGACAACCATACCGTCCACAGTGCAGCACCACCACCTTCCATACACACCCTACCACCGATGGGTCCCACACCATTATCTGTACCTCCAAGCTAAGAGCCGCCTCCAAAGACCAACAACCGCCCATGTGTCAGGAATGGACTTGCCAGTAATGGTGGGACTCACCTGCCTTGTGGGGGCTGCAGTACCAGGGCTGGCCAGCGGGTGCTCTCAGCAATCAGAGACTCACCCTGCAGTCAGCCAAACACCTGAAGCTGATTATGCAAGTGTATTTAAGGGATGGCCAGACCTGCAGTCTGGGCCTTGGTGTGTGTTTTTTCTATGGGCCCCTGTATCTTGTTACCTGCATTCCTGTTCCTGTCTGACTGATTCGTTGCCGACCCTGCCTGATCCGGACCTCTGCTGACTTCTCCTATTTGATCCCTGGCTTGTGACCCCGACCATTCTCTGCCTGACCCCCTGTACCTACCTGCCCGTTAGTTGCTGTACCCGGCTCGTGACCTGACTACTCTCTGCCTGCTCCTCCTGTTCCTACCTGCCCGATTGTTATTGACCTGGCCTGCCTGATGACGCTTGCATTGTATGTATTGTTTTCTGTGGGTGGTTTGGTTCATTTGCACTGTGTTATGTTTTAGTATTGCACTGCGTTTATGTATTGTTAGTGTTAATAAATTATATTTGTTTATAACATATCTGAAGCCTGCGTTTCCTGCGTCAGTTCACATACCTCTGGTCATACCCTGGAGCCCTGACATTACACCAAGGCCATCCTGACCAGAAGTGGCTGCACAGGGAAGCCATCTTGGCTTATTGTTGCTGAGAAGGATGGATCTTGATGAGGTGGTGTATTTATCTCTGCTAGTGTTTGACAGAGAATATGCTTATCAGACTCTGAAGGAGTATCCCAGGGATCAACTACTAGAGTGCATAAGGATCGCTCATTGCCTAGTAGATCAGGGCACAGAATTCTCTGAGGTGCAGCCATTGATTCAGGTTTGTGCTGAGTTGGTTTCATCTGGTACCCCCGAATGCAGGGATGAATTTTTGCCGCCATTTAGTGCCGACCAGGTAGAGTCCCTGGTATGGTTATTAGAGGATGATGTGGATTACTTTCTGGAGCGTTATTCTGCATGTTCACAACAGGTACTAAGAGATTGTATAAACGCAGTGCAGTCTTTGACCAGACAGCCTTTGTGTAAGCTGAGCTTGTTCAATCCATACTGCAGACATGGTCAGACTTGTTGCACCCAGCCTCAGTCAGCTTACAACATCATTCCTCCACTCAAGGCACTCTTCCTGCATCCCCGACAGCACCCCCAGTGACTGCCCAGTATATTCTAACTACCATATACCAGTCCCCCTGCTCCCTCTCGCTGCACCTATCCTTCCTTTAACCCTGTAAAGAAGTCCTCTGTAGCAACTGCTCCCTCCTCTGTTCCATCTTCCAGCTCTTCTCTGTCCTCAGCTGCTCCATTCGTTTACAGACCTGCGTTTACTTACAGTACTCCAGTAACTAAAACCAGAAAAAAGCGAAAATTCTTTCCAACCAGTACCATCCTGCCAGTATCCAAACCGGTGAGGCTGCCGTCTGAGAACCCGCCTTCCGTGGTTCAGCCCGGTGCCTCGGCACCCGCACTTCAGCCTGATGTCTCTACCCAGCCTGATGTCTGTACCCAGCCTGATGAACTGATCCAGCCTGATAATCCTATCATGCCTGATGACCCAGTGCCCGCTGTCATGCCTGGTGACCCGATGCCCGCTGTCGAGCCAGACGATCCAATGCCTGATGACCCAGTGCCCGCTGTCATGCCTGGTGACCCGATGCCCGCTGTTGAGCCAGACGATCCAACGCCAGATGACCCGGTGCCCGCTGTCGATCCAGACGATCCGATACCTGATGACCCGGTGCTCGCTGTCATACCTGGTTACCTGGTTACCCGATGCCCGCTGTCGAGCCAGACGATCCAATGCCTGATGACCCAGTGCCCGCTGTCATGCCTGGTGACCTGATGCCCGCTGTCGAGCCAGACGATCCAATGCCTGATGACCCAGTGCCCGCTGTCGATCCAGACGATCCGGTACCTGATGACCCGGTGCCCGCTGTCATGCCTGGTGACCCATGCCCGCTGTCGAGCCAGACGATCCAATGCCTGATGACCCGGTGCCCGCTGTCGATCCAGACGATCCGGTACCTGGTGACTCGGTGCCCACTGCCTTGCCAGAGATGGCACGGTGCCCGCTGTCGAGCCAAATGACCTGATGCCTGGTGACCCGATGCCCGCTGTCGAGCCAGACGATCCAATGTCTGACCCAGTGCCCGCGGTCATGCCAGTTGACTCGGAGCCCACTGTCGTGCCTGGTGACTCGGTGCCCACTGCCTTGCCAGATGACGCGGTGCCCGCTGGCGAGCCAAATGACCTGATGCCTGGTGACCCAGTGCCCGCTGTCATACCTGGTGACCCGATGCCCGCTGTCGAGCCAGACAATCCAATGCCTGATGACCCAGTGCCCGGCTGTCATGCCTGGTGACCCGATGCCCGCTGTCGAGCCAGACGATCCAGCGCCAGATGACCCGGTGCCTGCTGTCGAGCCAGACGATCCGGTAACTGATGACCCGGTGCCTGCTGTCGTACAATTGACTCCCCACTGTTGTGCCAGTTGACTCGGAACCCACTGTCATGCCTGGTGACTCGGTGCCCACTGCCTTGCCAGATGACGCGGTGCCCGCTGGCGAGCCAAATGACCTGATGCCTGGTGACCCGATGCCCGCTGTCGTGCCTGATGACCCGGTGCCCGCCGCTCTGCCTGGGGGCCCGGTGCCTGCCACCCCTCCTGGGGGCCCTGTGCCTGTCGCTCCGCCTGGGGGCCCTGTGCCTGTCGCCCCGCCTGGGGGCCCTGTGCCCGCCGCTCCACCTGGGGGCCCTGTGCCCGTCGCTCCGCCTGGGGGCCCTGTGCCCGTCGCTCCGCCTGGGGGCCCTGTGCCCGTCGCTCCCGCCTGGGGGCCCTGTGCCTGCCGCTCCGCCTGGGGGCCCTGTGCCTGTCGCTCCGCCTGGTGGCCCTGTGCCTGTTGCTCCGCCTGGGGGCCCTGTGCCTGTCGCTCCGCCTGGGGGCCCTGTTCCCGCCGCCCGCCTGGGGGCCCGGTGCCCGCCGCCCCGCCTGGGGGCCTGGTGCCCGCCGCCCCGCCTGGTGGCCCGGTGCCCAGCCCGATGTGCCTGGGGGCCCTGTTCCCGCCGCTCCGCCTGGGGGCCCGGTGCCCGCCGCCCCCCCCTGGTGACCCGGTGCCCAGCCCGATGTGCCTCTGCCCGGAGTCCAGCCCGATGTGCCAGTCTTTGATATCCCGCCATTTACCAGACCCGGGCGGTGGAACATTTTGCCCAGCTAGGACTGTTTGGAGCGTCCTGAAGGCCGCTCCTTGAGGGGGGGGGTACTGTCAGGAATGGACTTGCAGTAATGGTGGGACTCACCTGCCTTGTGGGCTGCTGTACCAGGGCTGGCCAGCGGGTGCTCTCAGCAATCAGAGACTCACCCCTGCAGTCAGCCAAACACCTGAAGCTGATTATGCAGGTGTATTTAAAGGGATGGCCAGACCTGCAGTCTGGGCCTTGGTGTGTGTTTTTCTATGGGCCCCTGTATCTTGTTACCTGCATTCCTGTTCCTGTCTGACTGATTCGTTGCCGACCCTGGCTTGACCCCCGACCATTTCTCTGCCTGACCCCTTGTACCTACCTGCCCGTTAGTTGCTGTACCCGGCTCGTGACCTGACTACTCTCTGCCTGCTCCTCCTGTTCCTACCTGCCCCGATTGTTATTGACCCGGCCTGCCTGATGACGCTTGCATTGTATGTATTGTTATCTGTGGGTGGTTTGGTTTGGTTCGTTTGCACTGTGTTATGTTTTAGTGTTGCACTGCGTTTATGTATTGTTAGTGTTAATAAATTATATTGTTTATAACATATCTGAAGCCTGCGTTTCCCTGCGTCAGTTCACATACCTCTGGTCATACCTGGAGCCCTGACACCATGAACCGAAATAACCCCCATTCCCCACGAGAGGAACACAATACTCACTAAATAGGGAGGGCGGGAGGGAAGCTCTCTCACCAACGTCCAGCTCCGACTGACGCCCCCACCAGGACACCCCCGACCCTAAGGTGCAGAAGAGCCCACCCACGCTCTCCTCTACCAACCAGCTCCCCCAGCTATACTTTTCAAACCCCCTGGCACTATACTTAACCCTTTCTATTCTTCCTTCCCACTCTAGGCCTAGTCATGCCTGCCCTGCGCTAATTTTTTTTTTTTTTCCGCTACGGGCATTTCTTGGACTTGTGCACCAGAGATAGGTTCATCCATATCCCCCCCTTTTAATTATACCTACCAATTCGTTTTACTGCCTCATCCGACAAACCCACCGGGCGGCCCCGCAGTAGCAGCCCCTATCCGAAACGAGTGTAAAGCATACAACGACGCATCCAAACCAACACCGTTAAACATCGTCGGAAAACTGACACAAATTGAAAGCAAGTTAGAGGGGGACCCATCAGCATGCATGAAAAAGGACCCCTTGCCCCACCGGATGATTGGACAAAAATTCACGAAACCGCACGCACTGGGCACACCAGTGATGCTGGAAGGGCAAAAAAACGCACCCGCGCACCACGACCCAATTGGTCCGTCTTAGACCGGACGGACGAACACACTCCACCCATTCACTAGAGCTCACGACGTCATCCACCATCAACCCCCCAAGAAACCGATTTGGACGGACTAACGAGCTCACCAATACGCAATGCCCCAAAGAAGGCCACCGCAAAGGCCCGCCCGATACAAGCACACCTCAAAGTCCGAAGAACAAACAGACCGCAGATGTGCAATTAAAGACGAACCCAGAAAACCGCAGCACAAATGACGTGTAAGACACTGAACAGGACTTTGGATTGACAGCGTCATTCACCGACCCCCTTTTGGGAAAGACAGGTGGTAAATTAACCTAAACGAATTCGGCTCCTTCAAGGGAGAAACTACAAGATCCGAAAATGGGAGCGCAAGAAAACGGGCCCCCCATGCGACCCAACCTCACTTCCTTACGTAACTTAGAGCCGAAAACCACCTCTGCATGCTGCATAGCCGACCGTTAAGTTCCGAGCTAAGGGGGGAACCGAAGTTAAACTACACGGGATGCGGAAACCCTCCGAAAACCCTGCCACCAGCAGCACAGTGGCTGCCCGATCAGGATATCTATTTAGGAAAGGCTGCATCCTTTCCACCCTCACCCGGTGTTGTCCCTCTTACCCGCATGCCCTCCTGGAAGGCCTCTACCCTGCTTGAAACAGCGCGACAAAGGATGGGAGCCGCCGGAACAATCGTGCTTAAAATGGCAGGACCCTCCGAAACGACAAAACGCTCTCTTGGAACTGCCAACAGAAACCCCTACGCTTTGAGGCCGATTGTCTTTGGGAGAACGAACCGCCGGTCCCGCACTGAAAAAACGGACCAGGTGCCCTCACTGCAGTCATGAGGCGCATCCAAAGGCCAATGTCCTTATGGTCCCAATGCAATGAAGGGCGAACAGCCCTCCGCTGCCTAAACTGCTCATCGTTACCGGAGCCATGCGGTCCCCCCCTTAAACCCTGTGAGCCTCGCAATATAATATAAATTATATTGTTTATCACATATCTGAAGTCTGCGTTTCCCTGCGTCAGTCACACACCTCTGGTCACACTCGGGAGCCCCTGACATTACACCAAGGCCAATCCTGACCAGAAGTGGCTGCACAGGGAAGCCATCTTGTTTGTTGATGGGAAGGATGGATCTGGATGAGGTTGTGTTATTTATATCTGCTAGTGTTTGATGACAGGGAGTATGCATATCAACTCTGAAGGAGTATCCCCGGGATGAACTGCTAGAATGTAAATACGGCTCGCTCATGTTCTAGTATATCAGGCACAGAGTTCTCTGAGGTGCAGCCTTTGATTGAGGTTTGTGCTGAGTTGGTTTCATCTGGTACCCCCCGAATGCAGGGATGAATTTTTGCCACCATTTAGTGCAGACCAGGTAGAGTCCCTGGTGTGGTTATTAGAGGATGATGTGGGTTACTTTCTGGAGCGTTATATCCACATGTTCACCACAGGTACTAAGAGATTGTATAAACGCAGTGCAGTCTTTGGTCAGACAGGCTTTGTGTGTAAGCTCAGCTTTGTTCAACCCATACTGCAGACATGGACATACTTGTTGCACCCCAGCCTCAGTCAGCTTACAAAAAAAACCCAGTCCTGCTTCTAATCTATTTCCTCAAAACTCTATTCCTGCATTCCCAACAGCTCCTCCTGCCCTGCCTATCTACCGCATGTCAGTACCCTGTTCCCACTCGCTGCACCATCCTGCCTTTAACCTGTAAAAAAGCCCTCTGTAGCAACTGCTCCCCTCTCCTGTTCCATCCTCCAGTTCTTCTCTGTCCTCCAGCTGCTCCATTCGTTGCAGACCTTCGTTTACTTGCAGTGCTCCAGTAGTTAAAACCAGAAAAAAAAGCGGAAAATTCTTTCCAACCAATACCATCCTGCCAGTATCCAAACCGGTGAACCTGCCTTCCGTGGTTCAGCCTGAAGCCTCTACTCAGCCCCTGAAGCCTCTACTCAGCCTGAATCCTCTACTCAGCCTGATGCCTGTACTCAGCCTGGTGCCTCTCTACTCATACCTGATGAACTGATCCAGCCTGATGATCCTATTAGGCCAGTTGACTCGATACCCGCTGTTGATGATCCAGACGATCCGGGTACCTGATCCAGTGCCCGCTGTCGTGCCAATTGACTCAGTGCCCGCTGTCGTACCTGGTGACTTGGTGCCCACTGCCTTGCCAGATGACGCGTGCCCGCTGGCGAGCCAAATGACCTGATGCCTGGTGACCCAGTGCCCGCTGTCATACCTGGTGACCCGATGCCCGCTGTCAACCAGACGATCCAATGCCTGGTGTGACCCGGTGCCCGCTGTCGTGCCAATTGACTCAGAGCCCGCTGTCGTACCTGGGGACTTGGTGCCCACTCGCCTTGCCAGATGACGCGGTGCACGCGGGCGGAGCCAAATGACCTGATGCCTTGGTGACCCAGTGCCCGCTGTCATACCTGGTGACCCGATGCCCGCTGTCGAGCCAAACAATCCAGTACCTGATGACCCGGTGCCCGCTGTCGTGCCTGTTGACTCGGAGCCCACTGCCTTGCCAGATGACACGGTGCCCGCTGTTGAGCCAAATGACACTGATGCCTGGTGACCCAATGCCCGCTGTCCAGCCAGACGATCCAATGTCTGACCCAGTGCCCACAGTCAACCATACCAGTTGACTCGGAGCCCACTGCCTTGCCAGATGACGCTGTGCCCGCTGTCGAGCCAAATGACCTGATGCCTGGTGACCCAGTGCCCGCTGTCATACCTGGTAACCCGATGCCCGCTGTCGAGCCAGACGATCCAATGCCTGGTGACCCGGTGCCTACTGCCTTGCCAAAATGACGTGGTGCCCGCTGGCAAGCCAAATGACCTGATTCCCTGGTGACCCAGTGCCCGCTGTCCATGCCAGTTGACGGACGGAGCCCACTGTCGTGCCTGGGACTCGACTCGGTGCCCGCCACCCCGCTTCGCCTGGGGTCCGGCGCCCCAGCCGCCGCTGCATCGCCTGAGGGCCCGAGACCTGTCGCTCCTGCCTGCCTGGGGCCGCTCCGCCTAAGGCGCCCGCCGCTTGGGGGGTTCCCGCCTAAGGGCCCGAGGGACCTGTCGCTCTCCGCCCCGCCTGGGGGTCCGGCGCCCCGCCGCTCTCCCGCCTGGGGGGCCCGAGACCTGTCGCTCCGCTGGGGGTCCGGCACCCGCCGCTCCGCCTAGAGGGCCCTGAGACCTGTCGCTCCGCCTGGGGTCCGGCGCCCCGCCGCTCCGCCCTGAGGCCCGAGACCTGTTGCTCCACCTTGGGGTCTCCGGCGCCCCGCCGCTCCGCTAGAGGGCCCGAGACCTGGTACGCTGCTGCCTGGGGGTCCGGCGCCTGTCGCCCCGCCTGGGGTCGGCGCGCCTGTCGCCCCGCCTGGGGGCCGCGCCTGTCTGTCCGCATCCGCCCTGGGGTCCCGGTGCCTGTCGCCCAGCCTGGGGTGCACCGGTGCCATGTCGCCCCGGCCTTGTGTCCCGGTGCATGTCGCCCCGCCTGTGGGGTGTCCGGTGCCTGTCGCCCCGCCTTGTGGCTCGTTGCCATATGCTTGCATGTCACTCCGCCCTAGGTGGCTCGTGTGCCTGCAGCTCCGCCTGTGTCGCCCGATGTGCCTCTGCCCGGAGTCCCTTGCCCGATGTGCCTTCTGCCCCAGGAGTCCAGACCCTAGTGTTCCTCTGCCCTGATGTGCCTCTGCCCGATGGTGCCTCTGCCCGGAGTTCCATCCCGATGTGCCTCTGCCCAAGAGTCCCAGCCCGATGCTGCCATCTGCCCAGAGTCCAGCCGCGAATGTGCCTCCTGTCCCAGAGTCCCATTGGCCCGATGTGCCTCTTGTCCCGGAGTCCAGCCCGATGTGCCTCTTGCCCGGAGTCCAGCCCGATGTGCCTCTTCCCAGGTCCAGCCCGATGTGCCTCTGCCTCTGAGTTCCCCTGCCCGATGTGCCATCTTGCCCCGGAGTCCTGCCCGATTGTGCATCTGCCCGGAGGTCCAGCCTGCAGGTGTGCCTCTGCCCGGTGTGCCTATGCCCAGATTGCCTCTTGCCGTCAGTCCCCAGCCCGATGTGCCTTCTGTCCCGATCGTGCCTCTTGCCCGATGTGGCCTCTGCCCGTTGTGCCACTGCCCGGTGTGCCCGCTGAGCCCAGAGTCCTGCCCGGTGTGCCAGTCTTTTGATATCCCGCCAGTTTTACCAGACCCGGCGCGATTGACGAACATTTTAGCCCAGCTAGGTACTCGTTTGGAGCGTCCCTGAGGCCGCTCCTTGAGGGGGGGTGGTGTACTGTCAGGAAATGGACAGGGCCCAGCAAATGGTGGGACTTCGCACCTGCCTTTTCTTTTGAACTTATCCTGCAGTACCAGGCTAGGGTGCAGGCCAGCTGGGTGCTCCCATCAATCAGAGACTCAACCTTTCAAGCCAGCAAACGACCTGGAACTGAATATACTGGTGTATTTTAAGGTGATGGCCCAGACCTGCAGACTCTGCTTTGTTGTTTGTTTTTTGTTTTGGGCCCTGTAATCTGTCCTGCATCCTGTTTCTGTTCCTTGTGCTGACCCTGGCTGATCTTGAAGCGCTGCTGACTTCTCCTGCTCTGATCCCAGCTTCGCTCCTGACCCATCCCTCTGCCTGACCCTCTGTACCACGCTGCTTGCTACCTGTTCTGATCCCTGGCTTGTGACCCTGACCATCCCCTCTGCTGACCCTCTGTAACTACGCTGCTTTCTACCTGCTGATCCTGGCCTGTGAACCCCCGACCCCAAACTCCGCTTGCCCCCCCCTGTACCTACCCCGCCCTTTTTGATATTGGGCCCCGGGCCGCCCGACGACGCTTGCTTGTAAAGTACTGTTTTTCGTGGGTGGTTGGTTTGGTTTGTTTTCACCCCGTATTATGTTTTAGTATTGGGCCCGCGTTTATGTTTTATTGTTAGTGGTTAAAAAAATTTTAAATTTTTTATCACATATCTGAAGGTTGCGTTTCCCTGCGTCGTCACACAAAAAACTGGTCACACTCGGGAGCCCTTTACACCATCCCCTTTTTTAGGCCCCGCCTAAAAGCAGTGGGGCCCAAAAGCCTTTCCCTGACAGCTGCCACTGTCCCTACCCCAGTTTAAGCTCTCCAAACCCAACCCTCCCGGTGGTCCCCCCCACCAGGGGGGCACCTAACCCTTTAAAGGGGCAGAAGACCCACCCCCGCCCTCCCTTACCAACCACTCCCCGCTATACTTTTTAAACCCCATGGCACTATACTTAACCCTTACTATTCTTCCTTCCCCCTCTAGGCCTAGTCATGCCTGCCCTGCGCTAATTTTTTTTTTCTTTTCGGGCCCTTTTTTTATTCCCGTACACTTCTGAAAAATTGAAAAAAAAATGACTACATGTTCAAGTTGAAAAGAAAGAAAGCCTTTTAAATGCGCCAATACCGCAAAAAAGCCCAAATAAAAATATCCCTTTAAAACCTTAAAAACACCTCACAGACACACTGTTAAACTGGGGTGATGGGGACCCAAAAAAGAGCTTTATGGTCCAAACCCTAAAAAACTATAAATTTTGAGAGTAGTAAAAAAAGCCCCATACGAAAAGGATAAACCCTCCCCCCTGTGAAACAATGGTGGTGGCTCACTGATGTTTTTTGGTGTGTATGAGCTCTAAAGGGGACAGGCAATCTTTTCCAAAAATTTATTGCAAGATTAAAGCAGCATGTTATCAGAAAAAAACTGGGGAGACAATTTTTCAATTTTTCTGCACGGAAAACTGCGCATAAAGGAAAGGTTTTTGGGTTTTCCAGCACAAAAAATTTACCCTAAGGCCCCGGGGGGCCAAGTTACCCAACAGTGGTTGCAGCAGAAAAAAAGGGGAAGGGTTTTGGAATGGCAATCACAGTCCCCCTGACCTGATTTTATCATTTTTTGCTTGGGAAATTTTTCAATGCCTTTTGGGCCTTCCTTTGCAGCTTTTAAAGGGGGAAAAGGGAGTAAAGAAATAGCTCAACTGCCCATTTTTACGCTTTTCAAACCCCAAGTGAAAACAAACCGGACATTATTCATTTTTCGTGAAAGCATGCAAATGCACAGTCCCCTGGAAATTTAAACTTAAATAATTAAAAAAAAATTTAAACTATAAATTAAAATTAAAAATGGACCATACCCCGTCAACCACCTACTTTTTATATGAACATATAAACCCAAAAGTCCCTCCCCAAAAAGGGTATGACGGACACCATCAGAAGCCATGGCTTTCCCCTAGTTAAAGTTCCCCCCGTGAAAACCCCAAAAAAAGAGGGGGCAGTGGAGCTGCAGCCCGGGACCCGTGCTTGGGGGGGGGATGGGGAGTGGGGGGGGGGGGGGGGGGTTAAAGGGGGGCAGTGAAAGAATTAAAAAAAAAAAAGGGTCCTAGATTTTGAACCATTTAAAAAAAAATATAAAGCCCTATATAAAAACTTTGGGCCCTGCACTGTTTTTTTTTTTTTTTTTTTTTCCAATTTTTACCTGGGAGACTGAAAAGAAAAAAAAAAATTTTTTTCCATAAAACCAAACAAGCTTAAAAGAGGAATCCCCCCCCCGGCAGGGAAAATCGTTTTATTTTTGGGTTAAAAGCTGATTTTGCTAAGTTTTCTGGTTTAATTAAAAATTTTTCCAAAAATTTGGGTTTTTTGCAAAAAAAAGTGTTCAAAATATTGGTTTTAGGCAGGGCAACCGCCCTTTCCCCCACTGTAGGTGGCGCCTCAAAACCCGAAAAAAAGGGTGGCCAAAAGCCCCCGGGAGAGAAAGTCAGGAAAAACCTGGTTTCTCTAGGGGTTTTTGGGTTTCCCCGAGGGCAAACATCCTGGGGTTGGCTATTTCTGCAAAAACCCGGGGACCCCTGGCAGGGCCCCTTTTTTGGGGGCCGAAAAGCCTTCCCCCCGGGTTTTTGGGCAAAATTTTTCAAAGTGGCAGAGTAGGGGAAAGAAAACCCATCTTTAAAGGGGAAATTTAATAGTGGCCAGAAAGGGTTCCCGGGAATTTAAAAACAAGTTGGGATATTCAATCCTAACCCCAAAAAAAATTAAAAGGAAAAAAATTTTTTTTCCAAAAAAATTTGGAAAAAAAAGGAACCCAGCCAGGCCCCCTTTTTGCCCCTCTTAAAAAGGTTCTGCCTCTCTGCACTGGGAAAATGGGAAAAAAATTTTTTTCCATGCAGAGCTCTCCCCGCTCAAAATGGTTTTTGGGTTTAGTGTACTCTTTATTTAAAAATTTTTTGGGTTTTCTGCCCAAACCCGACCTTTTGTCATCACCCCGCCACAAACCCCCATGCTGCCCCCAACCCCTGCTGAATTGGGGGCAAAAACAAACTATGTATGGCCAAACTTTATTAAAGGGGGGAATTTTAAAACGGTTTTGGGCAGCCCAATAGCTTTTTAAAAACCCCTCCGGCAGTTTTCCAAATTTTTGACTGCATTAAGGGGCAGGGGGGGTGCGCTAAAACAATGCATCCCCCACAAGCCCCCCTTTTTTTTAAAAAACTTTTTTTGAAATGTGCCCAAAAAATACATTTTTTTAAAGTCCAAATGTTTCAAACGCTTGGGTTTCACAGAAACCAAAGTGGGTTCTGTTAAAAGTGCAAAATTTAAAAAAGGCAGCATGGGCCGGGGAGAGAAGGTCTGTGCTGCATTGCAGTATGAATGTTTTCACACCGAAAAAATTGTTTCTGTGTGTGCTTTCGGGGACAGGGATTTTAAATGCAGTAAAACCCCTGTAACCCCCCCCAATTTGTGTAAA